CCTGTGCACATCTATTACCTGTGCCTGTCTATTACCTGTGCACATCTATTACCTGTGCCTGTCTATTACCCGTGCCTGTCTATTACCTGTGCCTGTCTATTACCTGTGCCTGTCTGTTCCTGTGCCTGTCTATCACCTGTGCACATCTATTCCTGTGCCTGTCTATTACCTGTGCCTGTCTATTACCTGTGCCTGCCTATCACCTGTGCCTGTCTGTTACCTGTGCCTGTCTGTTACCTGTGCACATCTATTACCTGTGCCTGTCTATTACCTGTGCCTGTCTGTTACCTGTGCACATCTATTACCTGTGCCTGTCTATTACCTGTGCCTGTCTATTACCTGTGCCTGTCTATCACCTTTGCCTGCCTATTACCTGTGCACATCTATTACCTGTGCCTGTCTATTACCTGTGCACATCTATCACCTGTGCACATCTATTACCTGTGCCTGTCTATTACCCGTGCCTGTCTATTACCTGTGCCTGTCTATTACCTGTGCCTGTCTGTTCCTGTGCCTGTCTATCACCTGTGCACATCTATTACCTGTGCCTGTCTATTACCTGTGCACATCTATTACCTGTGCCTGTCTGTTCCTGTGCCTGTCTATCACCTGTGCACATCTATTCCTGTGCCTGTCTATTACCTGTGCCTGTCTATTACCTGTGCCTGCCTATCACCTGTGCCTGTCTGTTACCTGTGCCTGTCTGTTACCTGTGCATATCTATTACCTGTGCCTGTCTATCACCTGTGCCTGTCTGTTACCTGTGCACATCTATTACCTGTGCCTGTCTATCACCTGTGCCTGTCTATCACCTGTGCACATCTATTACCTGTGCCTGTCTATTACTTGTGCTTGTCTATCACCTGTGCCTGTCTATCACCTGTACACATCTATTGCCTGTGCCTATTTATTACCGCCACACTCGGCAGAGTTGGTCAGTTTTCCTGTGTGCCTCCCTCAGCTGACTGTGAGCTTCCAGTGATGGGGTCAGTCCCATCTAGGACTGAAATGAGCTGCAGGTCATAGCAAATCCCCAAATGTTAGTTTGTACCTCTAGACATTTTATTTCTTTCTATCTTGAAAGTCTTGAGTCAAGCAAGGCTTCTACTCTCTTGTCACTATGTGATGGGTGAGTTCCCTGACTAGGGTCCCTCACAGGCCAACATAGCTGCTCCAGTTCCAGCCATTACCTCCACCTTCCTGTCAGCTGGGGGAAGAGTGCCCACTATCTCTTAGGGAGAGTTCCAGAAGCTATTGTTTGACACTTCCCTTTATACTTTATTGGTTAGAGTTCAGTCACATGGCTATGTCCAGCTGTGAGGGAGGTTAGGCAATCCCAGAAGTTCTAGGACTAGGGAAGAACAGGAGAATGGAATGGAGACAGCTAGCAGCCTCCCCCTCAGGGCCCTGGTGCCTTCACCCCTGTGCTGTGCCCCGACCCTCCCTAGCCCATTTCTGGACACACAGACAGACTCCTGTAGGCCGTCACAAGGTGTGCGTTTGCCTCGCTGACAGAACCGGAGTGTGGCAGCCTCTCATGGATGAGTGTCCCCCACTCATTTGGGAATATTTGTGGATGCAGATGTTACTCTAGGTGCAGGGATCAAGCAGTGGCTGCAATAGACAAAGTCTGCCCCCTTCTGAGGCCACACCCCAGTGGCCTGTATAGTGACAGGAAGCACTGAGCTCCATTCTTTCTGAAGATTCACTCGCCCATAGTGGTCATGTCTGCTTTACAGACGAGGGAACTGAGCACAGGAAGAGCAAGTGTCTTGCCAAGGCCACACAGGTGAGGAGAGAGCAGGCTGGTATCTAAGCCACGTGGTCTGGCTCCAGAGCCTGCCTCTTAGGATGTCACTTCTATCCGATGTCACTTCTCAACATGTCAACACTGTTACCCTCCCTGCACAGACAGTGCTGTGGCCCGCTTTCTGCACACAACTGTGCCACAGGTACTTTCTGGAGACTTTTGTAACCATTTCCGGTGGCCACATGGGGGTGGCCCAGCCCGGGTCCCTGTGTGGGGTCAAGAAGGATCCGTGTGCATCCGCATCCGACAGGGAGAGGCCTGCTGACTTGGGTCACCTTGGCTTTTTATTCCTCCGAGCCCATCCGTCTTCTCAGACCCTTTCCTCGCCCAGGGGAGGGACATGTAAGGGGGCTCTGGAGAAGGGCAAATGGTACCAAAGATCAGATGCTGGGGCTCACCCCTCCCCACTTCACTCCCCCAAGCTGTCCTCTCTGTGCTTCAGGGAGTGGGACCAAAGAGAACGGAGGGAACCTTCCCAAACACTTGTTCCCCAGGAGAATGCTACACTTTCGTTGTTGTTAATCCTCACCTGAGGGTATTTTTCCATTGATTTTTAGAGAGAGTGGAAGGGAGTGGGAGAGACAGAGAAAGAGAAAGATCCACGTGAAAGAGACACCTGGGTTGGTTACCTCCCACACGCACCCCAACCAGCTTCCTGACGGGCTCCAGGGATCGAGCCTGCAACCAAGGTATGTGCTCTTGCTTGGAATCAAACCCCGGCCCTTCTGAGCCAAAGGAGCTGGGGCGAGAATGCTACATTTTATTGTGAGGACACTGGGAACCAAGGAGGTCTGTTCTCTGGCTCCATGTCTCTGGCTAGGCAGTGACAGGCTAGAGATGGAAGCTCTAACTCTTGCGTGGTGGGAAGAAGGGGGCAGAAAGTGGGAGCCCATTTTGCAGACGGACACATCAAGGCCCGGGCATTTAGGTAAGCTGTAACCAGGCCACAGGTTTCACCATGAGTCAGGGATAGAATTTGGGTCTTGGGGACTCCTGGTCCTGAGCAGGCGCATCTAACTCCACCTTTGGCCCCAGAGGTTTGATTTCCAAGACCCTAGAAGTTTCAAAGCCCCTGCTTAAACCTGTGGAAGGCCGGGTAATCAGCAAGTGTCTGTGGCCAGGCTGAGACCTGGCAAGAACTGGGTGAATTGCTGTGGGGGATACAAAAAATAAAAAATAAAAAATAAATTAAGATGTGGTCGTCACATGGAGACAATGGTGGGGGAGGGGGAGCCAGTTGGGTTATAGAGATGAGCTCTTAGAAATAGAAAACACGTCTAACTTTCGATTACTTCCATACGTGAACACCTGAACACCTCGAGAGCCAGAGTGGACTGAAGCAGCGAAGAAAGCCTAATGGGAGAGCAGGGTTTGTGCTGGGCTTTCAGAAGCAGTAGGTGGAGAGATGGCAGGCGGGTAAGGGTGCCAGCCTGGGTAAAGGCACAGAGGTTGTTCTGAAGTGCCACGTGCCAAGTATGTGAGTGGGATGGCCTTGTTGGAGAACAGCAGGCAATGGCACTGGAGAGGGGCCAGACATTGGAGAGGTTTGGAAGAACAGCGAGGTATTTGAACTTAATTCTGAAATCCAAGGAAGACAGCCCTTCAGCACCGGTGCCCCCAATTCCTCTCTTTCATTCACGGGAGACACCACTAATCAACCACTACACTCCCCGCAGAGCCACATGGGGCCTCAGCGCCCTTCTCTTTTCTTTTTAAATATGTTTTTATTGATTTCAGAGAGAGGAAGGAAGAGGGCTAGAAAGATAGAAACATCATTGGTGCGAGAGAATCATCATCATTTGGCTGCCCCTTACACACCCCCTACTGGGGATCTCGCCCACAACCTGGGCATGTGCCCTGACCAGGACCTGAACTGTGACCCCCAGGTTCACAGGTCAATGCTCAATCACTGAGCCACACCAGCCGGGCTAGAGTACTTTTCAACCCAAGCTCCTGCCGGCACTAGCAACTGAGAGGAAACTTAGTTCCTGTGGGTAACTGGGAGCCACTGCAGGTTCTTGAGCAGGAGAGTTTCTGAATGGGTTTTGAATTCCTGGAGCCTGTGCGACTGCTTGCCAGCATCCCAATCAGCTTTGAGTCACTACCATGGTGGGGTTAAGACCTCTGAACTCCACAGGGTAAAGGAGCATCTGTTTTCACCCTATAAACTCCCCTAGTCCAGGCCTGCCCCTCTGGCACAGGGCCCAGCTTTTCTCATCCTGGAAACCGAACAGAGAGAGAGAGAGAGAGAGAGTCAGCCACACCGTTTAGGTGAGATTGAATTCTGAACGAGGCCCTGGTTGGCGGCCCTTCCCTCCCCCACCGCCAAGGGAGAGAGGAGGCCAGGTCAGGGTTGGGTGGGTGCCACCAGCGACCCAGATTCTAATTTAGTGAGTTGAAATGCACCTTTAAAATGCATAGAGGTCTGAACAAAACTCATCTGTCATGGTTTTCAGTGTGAGAGAGATCCATCCATCCACCGCAGATAGGCGTGTGTGTCTCTGGGTGTGTGTGTTTTCTTTCCCAAAAGTAAGTATTGATTCTCTGTGACTGTAAACAGGCCATAAGAATGCTCTCAGGCACCCCACCCTCTGATTGCGGCCATGCAGATAGGACCAAGGTGCATTCCTCCTGTGGCGCCAGTCTGTTTGTCATTGCTGGCGTGTGAGCAGGTGTGTGTGTGTGTGTGTGTGTGTGTGTGTGTGTGTGTGAAAGGTGGGATAAAAAGGAAATTACTTCATCTGCCCAGAGTTGCTGTGCACACCGAGGGCGGGTGTTTGTCTGCTGTGGGTGTTGGGGGCTGGTGATGGGGGGCACGTGCTGGAGTGGGGAGCTGAAGGTTCCCTGCTTTGCAGCCCTTGGACCCCCCCGCCCCCCAGGCTGGGGAGACGTGTTGGAAATCCAGCTCTCCGGCAAGCGCTGGGCCCGTGAGCGCCCTGGATTCGTGAGCGGCTGAGAGATATGTTTATTTCCCTTTAATGTTGTTCAGGGTTCAATTTACCCAGTGGCACGCTAGTAAATAAATAAGAAAGCCAAACCTTTGACAGGGGGAAATATGGAGTTTTCCTCCTATATTTCTGAGTAATATCTCAAAACTTTTGTGACTCACGAGGGCTTGCAGTGTTTGGTTAAAGGGGGAAAAAAGAGAAGGAAAGGAAAATCATCTTGTTTCTTGTATATTTGTCAACAGCTTTACAGCAAGTGGAGAATATTCTATATAATGTGGCCTGTGCGCCATCTGTGCTGACGGCAGGTTCCCTGAGGGCGGTGGCTGCGTCTGAAGCCAGGCAAGTGTAACCTGCATAATTGTATCCCTGCAAAGGGGCCGTTTTCTATTGCCCAGAACCCATTACCCACCAAATCTCCTGACACTAATCTCCCAGGCCTCCGAAATCTGGGCGTTGGGGGTGGGGAGTTATTGCACAAAAATCATTCAGATGTGCCAGCTCGGAACGCGGCAGTAGTTAAGGAAGAGAGAGAAAGGCAAATGAGACAGAAGCTGTTACAGGCGAATGAGGCAGGAAGAGGGGAGACCAGGAAGGGGTGAGCGACAACTCCACGTCCGGTTGTGTGTTTCCCTGGAGACTGTGTTGGGACCCTCTGTGCCAAGCGTTGGGCAAGGCACAAGGAGAGGAGGCATCATGAATAACAACAATGCAATGGCAATTGTAGTAACAATAATGGGCCATTCGCTTCGCACTTCCCGGTGCTGGGTGCTGTACTGAGCACATCATCTCAGAGCTGAGTAGCCGAGGTCCTTGCTCTCGGCGAGTTTATGACCTGGTGGAGGCGAGAGGGACAGGACCAGCTGCCTCCTGAAAATCCTTGGAGGATTCTGCACTTGAAGGGTAGTTAGGAAATTCCCCAATTGGAGTACTTTTTATAAATTTAAAATTTTGGGTTCTGATTGATGTTGGAAATCTGTCTCGCTGAGGAACCCCGGGAAATTAGGTTTTTATGAAAAAGCTTGCCCAATGTAGCACAAAAGGAATGGACAAAGAGGTGAGTGTGGGAGGGGGCTGGGGAAATATGATGGGGAGAACAGGGGACATTCAGGTCACAGAGAAAGGTGGGGACAGGAAAAGAGGAGGAAAGGGTGGGGAGATGACTGACCACTAGGGTGTGAAATGACTAAAACCTGTAGCATGCAGATGAAGAGTGAGGGACTTGGAATCCCTAGCCCAGGGCACAGTTTTGAGAAGGGGAGGGGAGGATGAGGGCTCTTAGCTGGCTGGCTGGGAGCCAGGTTCAGGGTAACTGAGGTCTTGTGCATCCTAGAGGAATCGATGAAGGCGACTGAGAGTGAAATGGCTCCTTCAGTTGCAGAACAGCGTTTGAAGAAATGCCTCTCCGGGAGGAAGAGGGAAGAAGGGGTTGTGAGCAGAATCCAAGGGGCAGCAGATTGGGAGAGATGGTGGGGAAATGACTGTCCTCAGAGGGCTCCTGGTTAGGAGATGAACATTGAAGGGAAATGCTGGGAGCTGTCCAGGGCCCGGAGTGCTGAAACGGATTCCTGGAAATAGCTCTTCTTGGCCCATAGAAGCTGGCAATCTCCTATCCAGGGGTTCTCAAAAGTGCAGTCCCTGGACCGGTAGCATCAGCACCACCTGGAAACTGGTTAGAAATACACATCCCCAGGCCCCACCCCAGACTTAATGAGTCAGAATGGGGGGAGGTGGGTAAAGTATGTGCAGCGGCAATTGGTTTTTAACAAGCCCCCCAGGGGATTCTGATGCCACTCAGTTTGAAGAACCACTGCTCTAACCAACAGCTCTCCCTGTCCCCAACCCTAGGCTCCGCTCTTTCCCGCCACAGTCACACCCTGTGCACAGCTCTACCATGGCGCTTGCCTCCTGCTTTCAAAGTGTCTATGTTTCTTTCCTCATCACTGCTAAGCTCCCTGAGGGGAGGGCAATGTCTTACTCCACTCTGAACCCCAAGTTCCTGCAACAGCTGGCAGAAAGTATAGGAAGGCAGTAAATCTTGTTATGAATGGATTGAAGGATGCATGGGTGAAGTCTTCAGAGGCAGCTAAAGTGACCTTTAGCATCACAGATAAGCTCCTGCTTTAAATCCTCCAAAGGCTCCCAGACCATTTAGAATGAAACCCAGATCCTTACAAGGCCCTTTGGTCTGGACCCTGTGCCCTCACAGCCCTGCTGTCTTCCCAGCCAGCCTTCCAAACCCAGGTTTATTCTCTTCTTAAGGTCTTTGTGTGACGGTGCCCTCTCTCTGCAGTGCTCCTTGCCCAGACTGCCACACAACGGGCTTCCTCTCACTTCTCAGGGCTTGGCTCTCACAACACCCTCTCAGGGAGGCCTTGCCTGAGTGCCCATCTAAAGCGTCGCTCCCTCCCCATCCCATTACCTTCTTGGTTCCCTGGTGGCTGTTTTTCCTTCTACAGATTCAAAAGGTGTATTGGGAGGGATTCTCCTCCACCATTTCCATATGTTCCTCCCAATGTTGCGCCCTATAAAAGAAAACCATCATTCATAAAGACAATTGACATTGCCTCGATTAAGACAACTTCCTTATATTTATTTAGATTTTAAGTAAAACCATTGTGTGTGCTTAACAAACCCAGATTCAAGATGAGTTCCCTTAGAATAATCATTTTTCTGCCTTCCAGTGAGTTTGGATGGATCTTCTGGAACATCCATGAACCAAGCCCCCTTAATCCTGCCATGGTGGGAGCTACAGGCTTAGGGCAAGAGGAGCCTGCAATCGGGAGGACAAGAAGAAAAACGGACCACCCAGGAGCACTTAGAGGTTATGGATGAAGAGTTAACACATTCAGAGAAGTGAGGGGAGGACAGGTGCTGCAGGGAAGAGGTGCATGTGACAGAACAGACCACCAGGGAAGGAAGGCCTCCTGCATAGCTGGGGATTTGTGTGGCTTGGGAAGATTTTAGAGACAGAGGTGACTAAGATAACCACAGTAAAAGCTTGTCTGTTTAGTGCTTGACCCCCTACCAAGCACTGTTCTAAAACCTCATATTCATTAAATTCTTACAAGAACCCCATTGCACCCCCATTTTACAGATGTGGAAACTGAGGTATGGAGACTTGAAGTAACCTCTCCAAGGTGCCCAGGTAGTAAGAGGTTAAGGGAGAAGATCCAGTGTGAATCCCAACCATCGCACTCCACTCTCTCCAGTAACGACCTCAGCAGAACCTTAAGCTTTGGTGCCGTTTCCCAAGTCTGCCCCATCCCCTAGCTGGCTCTGAGTACCCACGGAGTGGCCAGGCAGCTGTTTCTGCTCCATTTCCTAGGTGAGGGTGCTGCAAACTACCAGAGGCTCCACAGAAACGAAGAGGCAGAAGTGGGGCTCACGTCCCTGTCACCACGCCTGGCCCCCTGCCTGCGAGAAAGCCTTGGGGATGTCTGTCCTCTGCCTCGGCAAGCAGAGGGCATTTGGGAAATGACATTGAAAGGCAGCAGGCAGGAGCGTTCTGCTCCTTTCCCCAGCCCACCCTCTCCCAGCCGTAAGATATATATAGCACCAGCGGAGAAGTGAATCGTGTGTTTGTCTGCAGCCCCTTTCTGCAGATCCATCACGGAGCCGCGCTCGGTGCAGATTTTGCAAACAGCTTGAGATTGCTGAATTAATTAGAATAAAATTAATCAAAACACCCACCACAAAGGAACCTGAGCGTGTGGAGTGTGACTTGGGTGAGGGAGGAGGTGCAGCGGAGACAGGGCGCCGGGTGGACTGGCTGTCCGCCCAGAGCCCACTGGGGCAGGCCCTAAGCCGCTGGGTGGGGCTCTGACTCCTGCCAGTATTCTTGGGGCTCCCCCGCCCCATCACGCTGGGCCTCAAGAAGGAGAGGACTTGGCCCTTCTGTCCAGGCTGTGCCTTTTGTAGGGACTGGAGCTGGGGTCCTGTAAGAAGGTTCAGGGAGGTGATGAGTGGGAAGGAGGGGCAACGCAAGAACAATGCAACACATCAGAGGTCAGAAGACCTAAGTCCCTGAGCATCGTTATCCCAGTTTCAGCCCTTTGTTAGTTGTGTAACAGACAACAGGGCCGGAATGTCTTGGTTCAAATCTTGGCTCTATCGCTTTCTAGTGGCATGACTTGACTGTGTAACATGTATAACTTCTCTGAGCCTTTGTTTCCTCATCTGTCAAGTGGGAACAATAATAGTATCTCCCTTATGGGGTCTGGTATACAGTAAGTGCTGTATAAGTGTGAGCTGTTACTATTATATCTAACCAGTCAAGAGGCCTGTCCATCTTGGCTTCACATTTCCTTTTTTCTTTCTACTGCCACTATCTCAGTCAGGCCTTCGTTACTTCATTCATTCATTCATTCAATCAATCATTCAATCCATCCATTCATTCCATTAGCATTTGTGGAGTTTCCATTGCTTGCCTGACTCTGGTGGTGCAAAGGTTAAGACCAGACACTGCCTTAAGGGCTCCCCATCTAACAAAGAGGTGTGCATGCACCAGGTCAGATTCCCAGGGGCAGGAGTGCTTCACAGGGAGCTGTCAGCTATCGCTCTCCAGGGGCACAGGCTGGGCAGGCGTTCCAGGCCGGGGAGGGCAGGTGCAAAGCACCGCCACCAGCTCGTGTCCTAAAACACAGATCTGACCAAGCCACGTCCTGGCTCAAGAACCTGCCATCCTGTGTTAGCTCAGCGGGGTCCACGTCATAATCAAGGTAAAGCTCTCTGCTTGGGGTTCTGGCTTCTCCACTTAGATACCACCATCCTCTCAAACTCTCAGAACCCTCCTTCTCCAGCTGGGGGCTGAGAAATTACAGAGTTATCATGGAACTTAAATGGTTATGTGTGTGCAGCAGCAGATGCTAAATAATTATACCTCCCCCCTCCACACACACACACACACACACACACACACACACACACGGACACACTAAGCTGCTTGGTAAGGTTCTCTTGGTTTAAGAGTGTGCAGGAGGCAACAGCAGGCAGCGTTCAGAGCGCTCAGCCTGGCCTGGGGGTCAGCAGAGCAGTTGCTTCCTGGTTTGCCTCCTAGTGGACCGGCTGTATTCCTGTCGCTGCCCCAAGCGGACCCTCCCTGTGTTTCCTCCTCTGAGAACACAGATCCCAGAGTTCCTCAGTTGGGGTGCTGTGGGCATTTTCAGGGAACAGCTCTTTGTGAGACCCTCCCATGCAGGGTGGGCAGCTTAGCACCCCAGTGAGCCCCGAGTCATGGAGGCATCGAAGCAGCCAGAACCATCCCCTCATATTTCCATCCCCTCCCTCCCTGCTTCAGACCGAGACCCCTTTTAAAAAACATTTCTGTGGTTCTTTCCAATTCGGACCTTCACTCAGTCTCTGGCTCCTCGATTATATGTCAAAAGCCTCGAAGGGAGTCTGCCTGTGTACCCCCCACCCCCACAGAGACTAGAGCACGTGGGGGTGCACAATAACAAGTAAGCACAAAGTCAGTGAGGGCCTCTGCCCAAAGCTACGGCCCAGGAGCCACACTGAGACGTGTCAAATCTGGCTCTGCCAGTTACCAGCTGTGTGATGCTGGGAAAGCTTCTTAACCTCTCTGAGCTCCAACACCTGGTTCATCTGTAAAAGGAATGCTGATGGTAAGCATGAGGGTTCAATAAGATAATGAATGTAAAGCACTTAGCACAGAGCCTGGCATGTAATTAAATGTTCAAAAGGTTTATTATTATCCTCATCAAACAAGGATAATAATATGCCACCCTCCTAGGGCTGCTGTGTGATCCAAGTCAGCAAGGGCATACACACACGGTTGGCTCTCAGCTGGGCACACGCCTGATGACAGTGGAAATGTTTCTCCATCTTTGAAGGTCAGTTTGGCAGCATCTTTCAAATTATAAATGCACAGACCTCTTGCCCCAGAAATTCCATCTCCAGCCATTTTTTTCTGTAGATATACCTCCAAGGTGCAAAATCACGCTGTACAAGGTTTGTACGTATTAGCAAAAGTTAGGAAATCACTCAAATATCCAGCCAATGGGGATTGGTTAAACCAATTACGGGACAAAAAATGCACTGGAATACTAGAGAGCCACACAAAGGACAAGGAAGTTTTTATGACATACTAGAGGCTCAGTGCACAAAATTTTGCACGGATAGGATCCCTAGCGGCTGCTGGTGGCTGGCGGTCAGCACACGTCATAGGGAGCGATCAAACTTCCAGTCAGTCAAACTCCCAAGGGGACACCTTGCATATTAGGCTTTTATATAGATAGATAGAAAGATCTGCAAGATCTATTGTTCTGGGGGGAAGGGGGTGCGGAAAGAAAGGGTGTACTGTAATGTCTCCATCTGTGGCTTTTCTGCTGGAGAAGATCTCTTGGAAGGATTCACAGTAAAGCAGCACCAGCGGCTGCTGTGTTCAGTAGGCACAGGGAGGGAGGGAGGGAGGGAGGGAGGCTTTGTGAAATGGCAACCACGTGCGTATAAAAGCTATTGATAACTAAATGTCTGGCAAAACCTCAGGAACTGTAATGAGCCCAAGTGTGAAGCGGGGTCCTCCCCGGGAGGTGTCTGGGAGCCTCCGCCGTCGCAGACACAGCCCCTGCTCTTGATGTCAGCGCACACTTCCAGAGGCCGAGGGGCGCTCAGCTGGGGGCTAGAAAGCACGGTGCCCCCTTGGGCAGGCAGCCGCCTGGCATCTTGGGAGGCCACTTTCCCACAAGGGTCCCCATATGTTAGCGCTTAAACAGGGGCTGTGATACCAAGAGCCTGATAGCTCTGCCCAGGACTACCCCACCCCAGGGCTCTGTGGGTGTCTGTGTGATTGGAAAAGGAGTCCTTGTGAGGGGCTGTCAGACAGGAAGTTTCACAGATGGCCCTGGCCCTGTGCCCCTTTCCCCTGCCTGGAGCAAGGAGCTGCCGCTGTGCCTCTGAAGGAATGAGGTGTCTGTCCCCGAGGCAGGGAGACGAGGGAGGCAGATGGGGATACAGAGCCTGTGGAGTCAGATACACGTGGGTTCAAATCCCAGCTGGGCCGCTTACCCGCGGTGCGACCTCCGGCAGGGCCCAGGCTTGGTGGGTCCGTTTCCACACCTGTCACACGGCACAGTCACACGCCCGTCATCAGGTTGTTGCTAAAAGGGAAGGTGATGTCTTTCAAGGCACAGGGTGATGACTGAGGCGAGGACCGGAGTGCCAGGAGTTTGTGTGGAGGGTGACCTTGGGCAGCCTGGGCCAGGGGGACAGGGGAGGAGGGGAGTCAGGGAAGGGCATGTGGAAGAGCAGTTGCCACCTGGGTCTGGGCTCAGTGTTGCTGGACCTCCAGGAGCCTCAGAACAAGCCTCTGATTTGCCTCAGTGAGGGGGTGGGGGTATTTATATGCCAACTCCCAACCTTCATTGATCAAGCGCTGTTCTGGGCACTTAAACTCCTTGCACTTCCAGCCTGTGTGTGTGGGTGGGGGGGAGAGGGGAGGGCTCAGGACAAGCAGGCTGGAGTGGGGCGGGGGCATCAAACACACTATCAGGCCCTTTGGGCATGGCTCAGTAGTTGAACTTCGACCTATGAACCAGGAGGTCACAGTTTGATTCCCGGTCAGGGCACAGGCCCGGGTTGCGGGCTCCATCCCCAGTGTGGGGCGTGCAGGAGGCAGCCGATCAATGATTCTCTCTCATCGTGAATGTTTGTATCTCTCTCTTCCTCTCCCTTCCTCTTCGAAAGCAATAAAAATATATTTAAAAAACAACAACAGACTGTCAGACAGAGAAGCACAGGTGCTCGGAGCTAGAGGAAGTCCGAGAGCCGCACATGGGACTAGTTTGTGCCGAGGGCATATGGCAGGGCCACCAATATCTCTGTTGTAACTGCTTTGGCGTGTGCTTGGCACTATTTAAGCACTTTATAAATATTAACTCACTTAATCCTTACTACAGCCCAGCGAGGTAGATACAGACGCTGAGGCACAGAAAGAGTAAGCGGCTTGTCCAAGTTCACCCAGCTGGAAGGGGAGCCAGGATGTAAGCCGAGGAAGTCCAGTTTATTGGGTCTAAAGGGACATCAAAGACCAAGGTCTATCCCTTCAACTTGTGCACGAGAAAACCGAAGTCCAGAGAGAGCAAGCAATTTATCCCAAGTCACACAGCTAGCTAGTGACAGAACCAGAATTTGAACTTGGATTGTCCATTCCATCTCTGACACTCTCACCCCGCACCTCCCAATACACCCCCCCACCCGGCTTAATTTGAGGCGTTTCTTCTCTGGGTTCCTAAGGAACGAGCCTCAGGTGGGGCCGGAGGCAGGTACTGTCGGGGAGGGAGAGCTGGGACGTGGCCTTCCGCAGAGCGCTGGGTGCTGCAGTGCGGAAGCCAGGGGGCCATTAATCGGCTGGGAAGGCGGTCGCAGCAGAATCAGATTATGATCTTTAAGATGCATGCTTTGAATCTCAAAATCAGCAAAGGAATCAGGGCTCCAAGGAGGCGAAGGGGGCGGGTGCTGCCTGTCCCTGCTTTTTAACCCCAGGCTGGCATCAAAGAGGAGAAGAGGAGCCGGGCTCACCAGGGTGTGAAATTTCCTTTTTGTCTCCGGAGGTGGGGAGGGAGCGATGAGGAACTGTGATGTGCCCCACGTGTAATTAAAGACTTGAGGATTTTTTGAGGATTACGTTGCTCAAAGAGGCACAGGGAGCTCTGGGTGGTATATCTAGGCCCTTGCTGTCATGCC